TAAGAATAATCCAAATTTTTACAGAAATTTGTAACATAAAGAAAATTGAATTATTTGACATTTTTAACATAGGAATTTATAATTGAGTGAGTCTACAATAAACATATTTCTTAATCCATCGTCAGTTTCAAGGATTAAGGAATATAGTAATGAATTTTCAATTCTTCCTTATTTTATTCTTATTTATATAAGGAAATATGCTCTTATTTCGATGCAAACCTTACAGAAACATTCTATACGCATTTACTGGAAATATTTTCTACGGCGCATCAAATGACACTACGAGAAGAAGTTGCTCCTCGTTCGAGGTGAGCGTCGTAAATATTATCTTATTGTTTCCTATTATTTCCTCCGACAATAAGTGTCGTTTGTACTTTTGTACAGGTGACTTTTCCTTAGCTAATCACCAAACGCAATTATGCAAATTTAAATGAAATACACTCGTATATTTATATTTACACACACTTACATGCACGCATACACATACACACACAATATACAACGTAGGTCTCGTCGGCATCGCGTGAAAAAAAAAAATCGAATAAGAACTAAAGGATGGATTTTCTCATGTTCCATTCATCAATCATATATTTCCGAATTCTGCACGCTCCTCCGCCGTTTTTTTCCGGATGCATTCGTGTTTTCACTTACAAGAAAAGGGCCGTGCTAAGACCGATGGGATTATCGAGGTTCTTATCAGGGATACGATATGATTATTAAGAATATGGTTAAAGAATTGATCGCATCCCGAAGCGCGTGTTTCGGGTGAATTTTGAAGGAGAACTCCGATGCAGCTCGTCGGTCGCAACGGTTGAATCTCTACTGCGTGTTGTACATACTCTAAATATATATAAATATAAATAAATAAATAAAGATATATATAAATATAAATATATATTATAAATATAACGGCAAGAGATCGCGAATAAAAAACGGTATTATACATATATTCTGCGTCGGAGGCATTTGGCTTGCAACTCGTGAATGCCGATCGAGTGAGTGACACACTTATCCGCGCTTGCATTCCAATTGCCGAGTCGACCTGTCGTTATCCGTGAAACTTTTTCAGGGTGAAAGATATTATCGGAGAGCAGAGAATGTGAGATTTACTTAACGGGAGTTGATAGAACTTTTTTGAAAAGGGACGAGAGAGGACAACGCGCGCGTGGTGAAGGCGTGAATGAAATGGAAAAGCGGGATTAACGGATAAATTCGTCAGTATTTTGTAGCTGGAACGACCGACGTTAATTCTATGTGCTGCATTCTATATTCAAAAGTATGAGCCTTCCCTTATTACTCGCATAGTAAAACGAAGGAAATGTTACACGCGTTCTGTTATAGGCATTTATCTCTTCCTCTCTCGCCTGTCCTACTCAGCCCTAAGCTCGTCCTTTTTATTCCCTCATGTTTATATTTCTTAGTACTAAATATGGCAAAAGTTTCTTCCGCTATTTCCATCCCCTTACTTTACTTTCCAGCGATATTGGAAGTTGCAGGAGGCACCCATATACAGCACAGAAGCTTGCAGTAATATTGCTGCAACGTTTGCAATGTTACTGCAATATTTCTGAAATGTTGCAATGTTACTGCAATATTTGTGCTATATGGGAAAGTGTCGTAAAGAGAAGGAGAATAACGTCGGTTGTTACATTTGCGAATTATTGGCAGAACGCGGCTCCGTTCGCGCCGTCACACAGAGGATGTCTCGCGTCAGTTTTCATCCCGAATATATCGATTTGTTAGTATATATAATATATAATATATAGTATAAATATATATGTGTATAATTTATGCATTATATATGTATAATCACAGTAATATATATTATGTATACTAATGTCAGTATGTTAATGTATGTAATAGAGCCTAAAAAATGGGGAAAGGGGAAAAATCGTGCGTTTACCTAAAAGACATGGAAGGAGAAAGATAAACGGATGTCGTTCTATGTATCCTCACGCATCGCGACGATCTTGTTGCAGCGAGTGCGAACAAGAGCAGCACTAGGGCGGCCCGAATTTTTTATATACATAATAAGATTAATAATATATGTGGTGACATCTACAAGAAAGAGATTTTTAAACATTTTACAGTATGCCATAATAAAAAGAGGAGACCTCACCGTTCCTAAAAAGGAACTACACGAGGAGAGAACTGATTGAAAACGAATAACAATTCAATTTTCCGTCTTAGGCTAGGTATATACACAAAATTCTCACTGTTGAAAAATAAAACGCGCGAATAAATAGCTTTCGAGAATCGTTCACAGATTTATCGGAAACTTTTATTAATTAAAAGTCGTTTTTAACACATAAACTCAAGCATGTAGTAACAGCGAATTGGAATAATTGAAGTTAGAGAGGTAAAAAATTATTAAGATGAAAAAATTATTGAAAGAATATCTTTTCGGTTGGATAAACACAAAGGCTACCATAAAAATCTTAAAATTTGGTTCTAAAGCTCGAATTTGTTGAAATCGGGGATTAAAAGCCTTCTATTGATTTTATTTTTACCGTAAAACTTAATCTATCAAGACAGGAATAATTCATTCTTTTGTCCAATTTAAATTTTGTGTGCGAGTTCTTCTGATTTCATCGGTTTGAATCAAACCGAAGCTGTTACTATATTTAAGATCATCACCAAAAAGTGTTTCAATAACACTCACGAGATTAGATAAGCTCGAACAGATTCCGGAAGTATTGCAAGAACAATGTCAAAGATCACTGCCAAACACTGATAAATAGAACTTTTTGTCAAATTTACAAAATGTCATAAGAGAAAATATCGCATGCAACTTTCACCTTAATCTATAAGTTGCGAACTAACATATTCCTATTTGATAAGAACGGTAATTTAATTGAATCGCAAGATACCCATCAGCTTTTATAATTATTGGTGTTTACAAAGTGCGTGAAACGTGACAAGTATCGTCGTAGATTGCGATCCATTCCGATTTATTGAGCTGTTTATTGTATTTATTTCGATCGAGAAATCGCTAAACATAATTTCGTCGGTGTGTAGAGAAAAAAATGAAGAATGAAAAAGAGAAAGAAGATGAAATTATTTATACGCGAACCCACTTGCGTACAAACCTATATAAGTTTTAATATGTTTTATCGATATTAATACATTTATTGCGTAATTCTTATAATTAATTAATTGTAATGTAACAATATTTTTAATGTGTACAACTTAAATTTCGATGATCATGCTTTGAAGACATATACATATATACGAACGTGTATATATATTTACAGATGTAACGCGTATATACACATTTTTGTTCAATATGTGTTTTTCTTTATCCTATGACAACTAGAGATTGAATGAACATTTGTAAAATTCATAATATTATCGAAAAGATGATATACGTTATTAAGGAGCATGATCGTTGGCCATACAATGGGGTATATATACTATATATATTATATTATATAGATATATTTATGTTAAAATGTAAGTCTAGAATAAGATGATGAACGCGATGGCGGCGCCAATTCGCGCCGGATCGCGAAATATATTATAAATACCTGCAATTGGTGTTCTCTTCTCTTTGAAGCATTTTTAGGAGTTAATTAAATGCCGCGCGAAAATTGCGGTCATCACGAGAAATTGCGTTTGCGCGACATTGTTATCACGTCATTTCTGATTAAGGGCCCAATTGAAACGGCGCCGGTTGGCGATTGGTTTCAGGAATAGTCCAGAGATCGCTGACTCTCTAATTAAGCAAGCAAAACGGTTTAAATGACGTTACGCAGTCGCGAATTAAGATAAACTAGCCACACCGCGATCGCGCGAGAAACGATAACATTTTGTATCTCTACTTGTAGATACAATACGATAGGCGAGAAAAGTATATCTAAGGATTCAAATGAAATTAATATATAGAGAGCTGTATGTATAATTAATTATAAGTTCATTCGTCGCTATGATATTATACTTAGATATCGTATGATTTTTGAAATAAAACATTTGTTTTAAATATACAAATGTTGAGAAATGTATGTCCTACCATTACGTTAAATTTATTCAATGATTTTACATTATTGACTTTAGATTAACTTTAGAATCTTAAATAAATTAGAGGAAAATCTGATGGTAATTTACTTGATAAATTATTTAGTAATTCTGGAAAGCTGGTAAAATAATAATTTAGAAAAAAACTACAAAAATGAAAAAATTTTGACATGAAGCATTCAGCCTAAGATGAGTAAAACACTTTATTTAACTTGTATTTTTGTTTATTTTTAACGAAGTTATAGTTACTTGAATTTTGAAGTTAGATAGTAGCTCGTAGAGCTATTATCTTTTGTTGCAACCCGATTAAGTATTTTTCAAGTGGATTATGTATGAGGCGTATTAAGGACAGCTAATCGGCAAGATTTCAATAATAATAAGACTTATTTTCAGATGCTGTTTTATCAACTCAGAATAAATTTGAGAATATAAGAAGAATGTTGTTTTATTTTAAGCATTGGTGCGAAAAACATGCATATTTGTATATAAAACTGTAAATTAACGAATTTTATTAAAATAACAAACAAATTACTTATCGTATAAATCTTGTCGTAATTTTATCATAAATCACATTGAATCCGACGCTTAATTTTACATCTCCAAGCAAAATATAGATTTTGTACAACTAAAATCACATGATGATTAATTTTTAAATTGTGACGTTAATGATGTTTTTTTTAACATTCTATATATCTTTTACTGACGAATGCAAAAATATCCTTTTTTTGTAATATTATCACTTGAGGAATGTCTGTACTTCAGATTATATGTGTAATCATAACATTCAGTTGTAACAACTGAAAAAAGAAGAAATATGAATAATGTTGACTGATTAAATCATATATGAAAAGTTGATGATTTTTGTCACATTATTATCAATACTGCCTTTTTAATATAAAAATTGAAAATTTTTGTAATATGACGATATTACGAAAGAATTTCATATTTAATTATTAAATTAAAACAAAACTTGTCATTATTTTCAGGTCGTTCGACTACGAGAAATCTCGGGGAGTCGTGAGTACCGAAATTACGATATTTAATCCACATTATCGCACTCTCGCTTAGTATCTATCACACTCGCACCAATACCATGACTAATACTTCATTCTTCGTAGTGCTTTAGTTTAATTTAGCCGTGTGACGCGATTCAGGGACGAACAGTAAGATCTCTTCGTCGCTTTTCCGTCACTCGACGATTGTCGTTCAGTAGACTTTTGCCAAGCATGCACATTTTCAGAGACTTCGCGGACCCAACGACGGGCGTTAGTCTTCTTCAGCTCGGCAAATCGAAAACTACGGCCGATGTCGTTAGAAAAAGGCAAGCAGCAGCTTTTTTATTTTACTCGTTCGCAATGTCGGATGTGTCCGTCGACGCCTTCGCTTTTCTTACTCGTCGGACAAAATTGGATTAAATTGCCCGGAAAGGCGGCGACCAACAAAGTATTGTTCGCCACCCGTTTTCTGCGCAATTTGATCAAACTGGGAACTATTCCTCGTCTCACCGTGTTACCAGCAAAAATAAATCTTACGTGACAATAGATTAAAACCTCTTATTAGCTCACGAACTAAAAGAAAAAGTACGAATGGATTAGTATGTCCGATGAATACAAAAGAACTTGTAATTAAGTTACAAATTCTATTGATTTAAAATTTTCTCATAAAGAAGTGTTCATTCATATATTTATTCAAAACTGTGAGTTTTTTAAAATATTTATTCACATGAATACTTCAAAATTATTTTACAAATATTTATATTCACTCAAACAAAATGTAAACTAAAAAAAATACTCCAATAAAAGCAACCCTTTTCTCTTAACTATTTGGTTAATTCAACAAATTTTATTTAATCGAATTTAACCATAGTCTGTTTAACATTGAACAGCTTGTTAAGCAGATTAAGGTTAAATTCAATTAAATAAAATTTGTTGAATTAACCAAATCTGCAAACAACTAAATGTGTTTAGTTAGTTGAACAAATTTTTTTTTCTCAGTGTAACTACACTGGAAAAAAATGAGAAAAAATTTTTTTTAAATCACGTATTGATTTGGAACAATCTGATAGTGATTTACTTGGCTTAATTTCATGAGTTTGTTATGTAACTTTGTGATGTGAGTCTTTTCAGTAGGATTAATTGGTCCAACGATATCAGCATTTTTATATTCATTATTTTTTTTTTGAAAAAGGAATATCTGAAGTTAGGAGTTAGGATTTTTAATATGAGTACCAAGAGTATTTTACAACAAATCGAATTTAAAAAGCACATTTCCACTTCTGGTATTCCCCTTGTAAGTAATAAATTTTCCTGGTCCCTTGCAAGTTAAAATAAAAAAAGTTGATCGAAAATCTCTTGCGCAGATACTTTATGACGCTGAACGCCGGCTATATAGACAGTTGTACTAAATAGAAGTAATCTTAATGTGACCTAATTGTCGTATCAATGAGATAAACAAAAACAAAAAAATGAGATCGGGGTTAGCATATCGGGGATAACTTTTGCGAGTCGTATTTACGCAATTGTGTTACATATACAGATTACTGCGAAATATAATCCGGCTTCAATATAAAACTTTAAATCTAGTAGATTGCCTTATCCCAACAGTGATATGTTTTTTTATTCCGTGTTCTACTTTTGCTTTTATAAGCAATAAGTCTCATTACGAGTGAAGATCGTAAAAAAAAACGGAAACGATTAACGATCTCTGAAGTAGAATAGAAGAGTCTTTTATTCGCAAAGATCTCAATGCTTCCTATTCGATTTTATGACGTTTATTGTCAGCAAAAATCTAAAGAGTTCGAGACATTTGTTATTCACAGTTCATGGTTTACGAGTCCCCGAGTAAAAAAATAGTAATAATAGCAATAATTATGTTCGTTACGTATGAAATTTGATTCCGATAAGATAGGATAGTTACAAAAAGTGTAAGCAAAATGAAAGAAAAGAAACGTACATGCAAGAGATGAGGTGTCAGCAAGATGACTGCTGCTAGATAATATCTATCTGGGGCAAAGAGATGGCAATTTGATTACAAGAAAATAGAATGAAAATAGGACAAGAAAGAAAAGGAAGATAAGCTGTTCGGTGCAGTATGTGGCATGTAATTTTATCGCTGCTTATAATATGCAAATTCCTCCCTTCCGCAATTCTCTAGAAATCGCATTTGTAATTGATCGAGCAAAGCTGATATTTTTCTATTTATCGGAAGCGTTATTTGTATTTGTATCGAGTGCTTCATTCAATTCATATGCGTGCTTTGTCTAGCGTTTCCTGTTTTATTGCAATTTATGTAGCAATCTGTTAATCGCTGCGCTTATATTATAACTCTCTCGAAAGTAAAACTACTGAATGCATTTAAACGACTAATGCTACGCTAAGTCAATTAATTTTGTAATGTCCTGTTAAGTTTTATTGGATAATTAATTGCATCATGTGCGACATGAAAGAAATGGTGTCTGTCACTATATGTTCACTGTTATGTGATATTTTCTGTAAACTTTACTTATTTGTTATTTAATATTAACAATTATTAATATTAAATATTTACAATTATTGCTACATGTGATCCGCGTGAATCATTAATCTAAAATATTTAACACGGCGAGTTTTTATAAATAAAAAACAGAATTTTTCAAAGTACCACATTTCTCAAGCATTTTACGAAGGATTCTCGAGCTTTCTCTTTAATTTTAATCGTTATAATTACAATTTTTTATTGGTACGCCACGCATGAGACAAAACAGATAAATGGCAAAAAATAAAGAAGATTTAATAAATAAACTAATGTCGTACTTGACACAAAGATACGGGTTGATTACATATCATGCGCAATTTATGCATGCATATGAGAACTGAATAGTACATTCAATCTGGATCATCCACTAAACTAAAAAACCCAGACACGATACGCACACACACATGCAGTAATTTCATGTATCATAATAACTATTCGATCAAAGTAAAACGAACTTATTAAATCGTCTTTTTTTGATATTGAAAAGTTAACATTATAAGCGCTGTATATATTTAATATTTTGTTTTCTCGTAAAATTATTGTTGTGTGATATCATATCAACGAGATAAGTGTTGTATCAGAAAAAACTTACAACTTAATTCTTTCTTCATTATTCATATATATATATATGTACATAGAAGTGACACAGAGAGCGCCGGCAGATATTCCCGATCAGAAGTGGACGGAGCGTCGTCCCGAGGACAACGGAAACCGAGGATCAATCTCTCCCGATTCTTTGGAAGGAACAAAGATAAAGTGTCTGGCACCGATACAGATACCATGAAAACTGTCGTTACCGTCGACGACGAGAAGGTAATTGCCGTTTTTTACGTGGATGAATAATTTATTATTCTTTTTGTGTGTCATTATTATTTCGTTTTTCTAAATAAATTTGATGTCTTCATGATATTTATGTTGATAGAAAATTAAAAAGTTTAGTAATGATTAATTAATACCGTAATAGAATAAGACAAACTTCTACATCGCAAAATCTTTGATATTAAAGTGGTTGTATCGCACAGGAGCGACTATAGGTTTATACTTTTCTCTCTCATAGTTTTAAAATTAGAACAAAAATAGAGTAAATTGAATCGAGATTGAATTTAATACGGACATTACAGCGATTTTAAATAAAGATTTAAGAGAATTTATAGATTAAATTAAAAATTCATAAAATTTTATTTGTGAAAGATATCATTATTCGAAAAAAAAAGTTAATTTAGAATCAAACTATTACATTGCATCTTCACAGCCCTTTCTTACGTATTCTATGTAGGGGAGAGTTGCCGAATGCGTACTGGTCGCTTAAATCGTACCTTATCAATTTTTTATATTATTAGTTAATATAGGCAATATTTAATAACAATAATATAAAATATATGAGAAATGAGTAATATAGACAAAAATATAATAGCCTACATCTTATTTTATGTTAGCGGCGTTTTAAAAAATCAGGTACATATCTGATATTAATTTTTAATCAACTTATATAGCTGATAACAACGCGATCATCCAATTTTATTATAAATTTTTGTATTTTTATAAAAAAAGATTTATAGTAAAATATTTTATATTCACTGTATATACATATCTGTAACCATTGTAAAGATTAAATCGATATTTTTACAAAATTCATCAAGTTTCCTAAATCGTACCATCAAAAGGCTGATAACTGACAATAATAAAACTAATAATTGATATTAGTATAAATATCAAGTGCAAAAATATATTTAAGCAAATTTTTTTGGTGTAATTTATTTTGTTATTATTGTTATTTATAATAATTATAAAATATTTGATTTTCTTCAATAAATTATTGAAATTAGGTATTAATTATTAGGTATTAATTAATGACTTCTTTTATTAATCTTATATTTTTAATGGTTTTCATTCATACTTTCAAAGGAAATACGATAAAAAATATCTATAGGTACGATTTAGGCGACCAGTTGCTTAAATCGTACTTTTTGCAGCATGTTACAAAAAGATTTATAACAAATTAATTTGTTATTGGTGGAAAGTTAAACATGTAATAATAAGCGTTCAGAACTTCAAGCTACAATTTCTAATGTTCACTTGCATATAAAACAGTGCCAAATGGAAAATATAATAAAAAATAGGTTAAGTGATACGCATTCGGCAACTTTCCCCTACATCACATATATGTATATATACTAATAAAATTAATACTTGTGCAAAAATTTATTTGACTGTACTTATAAGTTTAAAAGTTATCTAAAATTGCCGCAAAATATGGTCGTTTTATTGCATAAAGCTATTAAAAGCTAAATTATTTGTTATTTTTTTACATCTGGTTTCAAAGAGCATTTATGATAAAAATTTGTTGGCTAATTATCTGATATTGGTTTTTTAAATTGATTTTTCATTGTATTTTGTGTTATTTTTGCGCCATTGTAGCAGTTTTGCTAGTGCCTCACCATTTTGCTTATAAGCATTTCAATTCTATTATTATCTGTTCTCCACTCTCAATTGTAATTTGTAATTATTTATTTGATACGCAAATAAAATAAAATAAATAAAGTTAAAATTAAAATAAATTTTTTAACTAATGTTTTTAACTGATATTATATAGTGGTAAACAGAATTCTATGGAAAAATTAAATAGATCCTGTAATAAATAACTTTTTACACTAAAAAAAATTGAAATGACGACTAAATGTTATATTTACATAAAAACACAATTTTGAACGTTTTGACTGTACAGTGAAGGGCAGAATGGTTGCAACACTTTTTCTGATAGATTTCGGAACTGCCTTGTTCGTAAACGGTTGAACATAAATGTGGTTAAATCCGAAAGTAAGAAGCAATCGCTCGATGAGCAGACTACATTCCGAAACTCATCGAAAGAAAAAGTGTTGAAACCATTCTGTCCACCACTTTACAGCCAAAACATCTTAAATTAACTTTATGGAAATATAAGATTTAGTCGTCATATTAATTTTCCGCTTGAATGTATAAAAATTATTTCTTACAGAATTTATATCATTTTTTTATAAAATGATACCTATTTAAATGTAAATGTACGATAGTATACATCATTAAGATTCTTTTTTTGTGATTGTCTATTACATTTTATATCTGAAAAACCATGATATAGCTTCAGACCGTTGAGCCGACCGTACAGGAAGGCAGAACGAATCCTTCGACAGGCGAAGGTGGCATAGTATACGCAGAATTGGATCTTACGCAACAGCAACAAGGTGTGACACCTCGCCGAATTAATGAGGACAAAACAGAATATGCTGAAATCTTGTATACGAAACCGGAAACCGAAGAAACAGCGGATAAATAACTGCATCTCCACGAAAGCAATTAAGACGATCGTGTGTTCTCTCCATGGTGAAAATAATAAGGTTCCACCATGGTTCCCCCTTTCATGTTTTAAGATGACTTCAAATTTTTAAAAAATTGATGTTTCGATAGAGAAAGCGAAAATAAAATAGATAGACGATTTGAAACGCAAGATATATTTCAAGGTATTATTCGTTATTGATTTTTTTATTGTAATTATCACGATCGTTATTTACACATTCACATATATGAAAATGGACACGGTCGGCGTTCCTCGTTAATCAAACCCTCACGATTACATATTTCCGTACGTGTGATAATTTATTGTACGGTGAATAACTTTATGACATCGGTTTATTATTCGACATTGCGTCTATATGCAACTGGTCATTATCGAATTCGGGAGCAAGCTCTTTACTAACTGGAACGACCGGAAATCATAATAATGTTGCTCCGTGCAATTATTATATATAAATTTATAACATGTCACAAAAAATATATGCAAATATGCAAACGACATTATTCATTGCTATGTCATTCTTTCGTAATTTGCATTTGTATTTCTATTGATGAAAATCTTATGGAAGGTATGATCTTAGCCGTCCAATCATTTTACTCCTGAATTCTTAGATAAACAATTTTACTTGAAATTTTTCTGTTGTTGGAATTTTATTATATGAAGAATTTGCTATATTAATTTGTTTAATAATTTTAATAATTTGCTCTAATAATTTGTTTTTGAGAAAAAAATTCTTTATAAGAATATATCTCTTCCTTTTCTTCCTAAAATTTTTCGTTTAAGCGTATATGACTATCTCAACGATACGCTAATCGTCATGCTAAACGTACTTAAATATTATCGTTAATATTGTTATTGTCCCCTTAAATAATGTATAAGTGTAATAATAACATTGTATTACGTACAAGTTATAGATACGTTTAAAAGTCACTTAAACGATTTAATTACTTAAAGTATAGAAAATTAAAAGAAACTTTTAAAAGAAACTTGTCCTAACAAAGGAATATAATCAAATGTTTCTCTCAAATTTTAATAAGCTTGGGATATGTTAAAATATGGACGAAAGTAAGATACACGTATTTTTTAAGTGCTTTTTTGCTCATTAAGGAATAAAATTCTTCCTTCAAGAAATTTTTCTTTCTGAGTGAATCGTCTAAACTGGCAAAGATATAAAAAATGTTTTAAATGAAATGTGAATGGTTTCAAAAATGTATACTTTATAATTATCTCATCTCAATTCTATTGCTCGTAGCCGAGTGTGGTGACTTCTCTCATATAGCCTGTAGTGCGCACGCTGGTTGTACACAATTATATGGGTCTTACAGTTTAACGTCGATTCTGGACGAAATTTTTATTAGAGAAGTGTTTTTGGCAAAAATACTTTTGATTTGCCATTGCCTTCCGAAAGGAGATACGAGCGTATGAATATATTTTTGGTTCTGCCGGGAATCGAACCCGGGATCTCTAGCATATAGCAGACCAGTAAAATAAGAATATTTTGTAAAATAACAATATTTTTAAATTATTTAATTATTATAATAAAGTATCTACTCTTGAAATCGTTGAATTTTTAACTAAGACATTTTTTATATTTTTGACAGTTTCTCAGACAATATTCGCTCAGAAAGAAAAAAAAGATATTTTTAAGAGAGGATTTCACCATTTCAATGCGAAACAATATTTATAAAGAAATATGCATCTCTTATTTTTGTCTATATTTTAACATATTTAAAACGTATCAAAATCGAAGGGAAACAATTGTGTTTCACTGTATAAATATTAACTACATTTAAAAAAGAAATTAACATAAAAAGATATTCATCATCAAACGAATAAAGCTGCAGGAACGACTTTTAAGCAAAGTCCTTTTTTTTATATATTGTAAAGTTTAATGTGCTTAAAAGTTATATATTTAAATCGTATCATTTTTTTTATTGAATAAAATTTTTGCTAATAATTATATAATACGAAATTTGCGTATTACAATCACGTCTTGCGTTATTTTAAGTATGTAATTTGTAAGTATATAATATTACATTTTTTGCAAGAATCTAGGCTTAATATTATTATATTAAACTAATCATTTAATTAAATTAATCACAGCAATATTAATTTAGGCATAAGTTAATTATAAATTTCATTTGATTAGTTCGATTATATTCTAGGTACAAAACCTATGATTATGTCGATTTAAACATTTTTCGCCGTCCGACACTAACAACTTTAGTTAATTTTTTTACGCATTTATTTTAATAAATAGATGTAAGCGTAAAATATATGTGAATAAATTATATGAAATTTATTAAGCCTGCATTTTTCTTTACCTCTCCTTATTTATATTATATTATAAATCTAAACTTTTTTATAAAATCTTCCATAATTTTTGTGTGAATGCTAATTTTAGTTTTTCTAACTCTAAAATAGTTCAACAAATGAAAAAGGTTACGAGCCATATGCGACACAAGCCATTTTCTACAAAAATTTTTTAATATAAAAAATTACTATAAAACAATTTAGAGTTAAATTAACGTTGTAACAAGGACACAATAAAACGCTTTATCCACTGGAGTTTGTTTTTGCTTCTGTATTATTAAGAAGGGCAAAGACCAGTTGGATCATTTTTGTATTCAAAACATGGTGTATAAGATCTCTTGTGATGATTGCGATGTCAGTTATGTAGGTCAGACGAAAAGACAGTTAAAAACAAGATTGCATGTATCTGATATTAATAGGAGGTCAAAGTCTCCGACGATTATCACCAGTCATCGTATTGACCAGAATCATAGTTTTGGCTGGGATAACGTCGAGATTTTGGATATTGAAACTTCGTATAAAATAAGAGATTGATATCGGAGATAGTTCATATCAAAAAATAGAAACACGGGTTAAATAAACAGAATGATACAGATTCTCTGCCAGATTCATACCTCAACATTATTCAATTTCTTTCCCTTTCCTAGTTTGTCCTCTCTGTGTGTGTGTGTGTGTGTGTGTGTGTGTGTGTGTGTGTGCCCCCTCCTATTATATATATATTTCTGTCTTTTCTTTATCTCTTTGTGTTCTTTCTCAAAACGTCGCTTGACACCGTTCGATGCAGTTGTTCTTCTGAATATATCTAACATGGCTTTTACTTTTAAAATTTGTGACTCAGTTTTTATTGCGTGTCTCTATTTTTGTCAGAATTACACCGCCAAGATTAATCAAGGTATACATATATGTAATTTATTGGACACTAATATACTATATAACTATACATACTTGATTATTAATATAATTTGTAACGTAATTATGTTGTAAAATTGTAGATCGGAAATAATTTTGATGGTTCTACTTTCACGATACTAAATGAATCTTTTGGACTGAAAATATTAAGCTACCTAATTTCGAATACTTGACCGTTGATAAGGAATACATTTGTTATACATATTTTGTATTTTACTGGATTATTTACATTGAAAATGACCTGACCGAGGTCGAAACTGTCTGTTCTAATTTTAAGTTTAATGCTAAACATGCGTTTTATTGTATCCTTGTTGTAACGTTAATTTAACTCTAAATTGTTTTATTGTAATTTTTTATATTAAAAAATTTTTGTAAAAAATGGCTTGTGTCGCATATAGCTCGTAATCCTTTTCATTTGTTAATTTATTCTCATTGAGCCTTCTTGAAAAGTCTTTCTAAAATAGTTGTTTTATCCTGAAAAAAATGTGATAAATGTATTCAATTTTTTCAATTATGTAATATCCTTCCCTCTGAAAATGATTCAGAAATTAATGAGGTTTAGAAATGAGATTTAGAAATAAAAAGGTAGCATATTGCTTAAGCAACAATACAATATTATAAATTAATGAAGATAATTGTGATAAACTTACCGTCCTTAATTGTGTGTGAATTTATAACTTTGGTCATGAATAAATTTTTGTATCGTTAACAATTGTTTAATAATCTTCATACTTTAATTACTTATCAATTTTACATATACACGTATAAAGTTGCGTGTCACATAATGCATATATTATATATCATTCCTAGTATAACTATATATTAAGTGTTAATTTATACGTAATTATATACTTTACATATGTATAAAAAGATAATGATTTTATACTTGATGAAAAAGTATCCTAGATCTGTTCTCTGTTTGCTCAATTATTATTTTTTATGGCGTAGTTTTTCAAGAGAGAAAATTACAAAGACCTTGGGAGATTTTTAAATGAATCGATTTTGCATAATGTTGATATGTAATGCATGAAATCATAATCAGTTTTATTTTTCCCTCCATAATAATGCGTCTTTACGTCAGATTCCCAAAGAAAAACGTTTAACTTCTATTTATACTCTTAATGAACTTCTTATCATAAAATTCTAACGTCGCTTTTGATTATTCACGTTCTATATCGGTTGTTACATTGCTTGAGTCGCTATAAATATTCGGAATCTTAGTTTTAATTCGAGCTGTTTCATTTTTGGGTAGACGATGTTGATAACTAGCATAGTTTTCCTGAGACATTTCTGCGACGCTTTTGTTGAAATCTATACGACTTTGCTCCCTGATGAAACCACGTTCGCTGACATTTTTGAGCAATTCTATTCTAGGTGGAGGCTCATCACTGGTGAAGTCTATCGGTCTTGGATAACGATTGCTCGCGGTAATCAAATTTGTGATGGAAATTCGCGTTTTATACGGATCCGTCAAAGAATCAAATTCCAATAAATCATCCTTTGACTCGACAGAATCTAAGGGTAGCTTAGGTCTTTTCCGGGAACGTGCTTGACCGAGATTCATACGCCACTTGGTGCTCACGAGCGCATTGTTCGCATTTTCGGGATTCAGTACACATTCCGCACAACGAAGTTGTAAACTCTCCAACTGGGAATCTCTAGCAATATCCTCGGCAAGGCGCTGACGATACTACACAGTTGGAAAATTTGTATTAAATTCAACACATTTCACGTGTATACTCAATTTTTTATGTGTTTCAAATTTATTGCAACATGAATATGTTAGAAAGTAACTATTAGAAAGTAAATATTATGTAAAAAAATTTACAAAAATGTAATATTAACACAATTTGTAAGTAAATTATAGAAGCATATTTTTCAATAAAAGTGACAATTATGATAGGTTAAATTCACATATATATTTTAATCATTTATCTTAGAACTTTAAATACATTGCGTTTATGTTATTTGTTCATTTACTTATAAATTGTATTATTTTGACACTAAGAGATATTATAAATATTAATTTAATATAAAATATTTAAATAACATAAAAAAAATTATGTTATGTTAACCTTTAAATAGATAGGTGGTTTAAAATATACAAGTTAGTAGGTGAGGTGTTCAGAACACCCCAAAAATAATTTTAATTTTATAGTTATATTTCCTATTATATTATGTTAAATTTACATTAGTTATATCCTTAAGAGATAGAGAAACGTAAAAATGATGAACTTTAAGACTTCTAGTCAATATTTTTTTCTTCTAGGTAACATTTTTTATTTTTTTTTCCAAAACAATGTTTTACATTACACAAAACTATATTTGAAGTACTACCTCACTTATCCACTTAAAGATTACATTAACACTTAGATATGTTAAAAATTTAACACAAAATTTTAACAAAGACTTAAGTGGACCAGGTTGAATAACGTAAATACAAAACAATGTTAAAGTATCATTTTAAAGATCGCGTTGTGAACAACACAAATAATTAAGAATAAAGACTAAGCGGTCAAGCTGGATTTTAATGCTAATAACAATTCGTATAAAAGAAATTTATACAATTTCGATGTAAACTGCGTGCCGAAATTATTTTCTTGCTTATCAATTTAATTTGTGATATTACTACTCTAGTTCTAATTGCGTTTCAAGATTGAAAATAATTTCGACGCTCAGTTTACATTGTGTACAAGATTGCAATTGTGATATATAAATTCACATGAATTATTTTCAACATTGAGATCCAATGACCGCTTAATAAATATAAAATATTTTTTACTATGTGTAAGTAAGAATCCTCGTCGGGTACCACGACCGCTCCCGGAATAGGTATGGCGGGGTCTTCGATTCTTCCCGGAACTTTTTGTACAGATGTCGGCAGAATCTTTCTTCTCGTGGTACATAAATCCGCTTCGAAATCTTCTCGGTCGAACGCGAGGCTCAACGGCGTGACATACACATTAAGTCTCTGATTGGTATTAAACATCTTCGTGATCGCGTATATTAGAACGTTCATATTTTTGCAACGTAGAACATAAATCGCGCCGCGATTTCTCGGGAACAACGGCGGACCGATCCAGCAAGGATCGGCAACATAATAAGCATCTTTAGTCGCCAAAGCTGCCAAAGCGATCCTGTTGCACTCGATGATAACATTACGCGCCTCTTCAAAGGCCAAGTTCAACGCGTCAGTTAACGTTAAGTTATTCTGATCGCCGCTATACAGAATCCCGCATATACTCGTATCGAAATCAATGGTCCATGAGTGTGGAAATATCTTGAAGGAAGTTTGCAAGCCGAACCTGTTGTCAGATTTCGAGTAGTTCTGCATTAAACTTTTCAGGCTTTCCGTGTAGTAGGAATCTCCGCAAATAACGGCCGAGTCCAGAATAGCCGGACTCCATCGCGAAGGATGACAAAGATTTCGCATAGCCAGGACAGCTACGCATATGGCGATGCAATTTTTTCCAGCTCGTTCGCCGAATCGACAATCATAAGCGCCGATCGTGCCCCAGATGGAATAAATTAGACCGATTACCTCGATCGCGTAGTTGTTCCAAAATCGCCGATTGGTCTTTGACCTGTCACCGTACTTCGCTTTCTTACGCGATCTCATAATTGAATGCGTAAAGTTCCAGTGATAATCCAAATAGAGCCACATTGGATCTTCCTGAAATTTATCAAACGACGGCGCATCGATGGAATTCACGTGAATTCTGTGGAGGAAGAATCCAGTCGTGCCTTCGTACTGATTAAGGCACATATGTTTCACCATTTGACGTATGGAGGAAAAGATGCAAAGACAGGCGTTGCCGTTGGCACAAGTCTTTCTGCCATCCGTATCGCATTGATAGGGATCTAGATAGTAATAGCAGTTGGTCGCTCTCGAATACCAAAAGCCGTAACAACAATTTGTAAAGTGCAGTATACCACTCGTATGCATCTTAAAATAACGTTTCAGATGGTGTTTCACCTAAAACCATTGATATAATAATGTTTATACATAAAATAAAATTATGTATTAAGAACTAGAATTCTAGCTTCAATAAATTTTAAATGTAATCTAAATTATTTTTAAACTAATTATACTGATTGACATTTCATTTTTCTTATGTTAAGTTGATTTGATAAGGTGTTTCTTATAGTATTTTTGTACTGATTTTTTTCAAAATTTATCTGTCAAATTTATGAGAAAGGCAGGATTTTTGAGTAATATGCATTAAAAAATTTTATAAATTAACATGTTCCGATAATTCACTGACAAAATTTCATTTTTCGTACGTTAAATAGATCTGAAAGAATGTTTCTTATAATACCCTTTGCGCTGATTAAATCTGTTTGGCAAATTTATGAGAACATTTTTAATACGCATTTCTCTTTTGCTTAGGCATAAATATTCATAGAAATCATAAATATTCATCCTTTTTTTGCTTAGATATAAATATAGGAAACAGCTAATTAATGTAAATTCCTACTTATTATAAAAGGCTTCAAAGCAAAACAAATAATTTCAATTAATATAAAGATGCAACACAAATTGTTAGCAAAATATATAAGTTTTTAAAAAGAAATATGTCATATTTACAAAAATCGAAGTCTGCAAGATATATTTTAAATCTAAGAACCAGCTAAAATTATCTATTTAACGAAATTATTGTCAACCAGCATATGATAAATAAGTATAAATAAATAGAAATTAATAGAGAATAATTTTAAAAAATCTTCCTTACTAGTGTTAAATAAGAAATAATAAATTTTAAATGTAATCTAAACTGTTTCAGACAGATTATAAAAATTAATAAATATAAATATATAATGTATATAAAAATAAATAAAAATTATTTTTTTAAATTCTTTTAACAAATAGAGCTATGCGACAGAATATATTAAAATATAATTATAGTAAAAATGAATTTACATAAAATTATAAGCACATTTAAAAAATCAATCACTGTACCAGGTAAAATTATATAAAGTAAAATAGAAGCATTACCCCATTTTTACAAAAGAAAGAAGAAAATGAAGGAAAAGTAATTTTCTTTCTTGTTTTTGACACTCACTTGCACGTAAAAATCATTTCTGCCAGTCTGAGAATTCGTCGTCAACACAACCAGTGGTAACGCGCAATCACGAAGATCAAAGAACCTGTTCATCAGCGGAACATTTCGCAAGATATGCTCCGTATGAAATTTCGGCTCGGCAGGGAATCCTCTGTACAAACTTTCCGCCACTTCGAGAATTCTGTCGATCATACCAGGAAGTGGGGACTGAACAATATCTCTCTTTATCACAACAGCCAGTAACGCGATGAAATAGCAACGTTTAATCAGTGGCTCCAGTAGACTGTCGCGATTGCGAAGAGCTACCGTTCCAAGTATGAAGATTGGTTTCTGTGCGGGATCGATTGGTTTGAAGATCGCTTTGACGTCGTAAGAGTCCTGAAGCTCTTTCCGATAGATCTCTGGTAGAGACGCCGTCGTTACCCTCGGCTCATGAAGACCTTTGACATCGCTGAAATCTGGTGCCATTTTCAGAGCGTGGGATATAGTGATCGCTCTTACAGTAAATGCAATCGTCTGCGGCATGTTGATCACTTTAACGATCATCTTAAGAAACTCGTCAAAGCTGCTGGTCGCAATCATTCTCAGATTTTTCGTCCCTGTGACTGTCCACCAGGCAAAGTAATTCTTGCCGCATTTCGAAACACCTATGTGAGCGGAATGGCAGACGATGATCGCGCCAGTGTAGATCATTGTTTCGAATATTTTCTCGAGGGTCATCGCGAGATTCCATCCCTCCGTGGCATACAAAAATCCGTAGTGTAGCGGCGCAAATACCACTCGAAACACGTAATTCGCTATTTCGAATTCCGGCAGCACTGCGTCGGTCATATCACTCACGGAAGTGTCCTCGTTAGCCAATACGCTGTCGTAGGCGTAATCGGTGGCAGCCTCGATTAAGCCGTCAATGGTACGTTCCGACCAAGAGGCTGGATCATGAATCAACGACCACGCCATGATACAAAGATCGATTGGGATCTGAATGGACGAGTTGTTATGAAATATTCTCTCGGATGGTATTTTTCTCACATTCGCCATTTTTATAAGACCTTGATTATCTAGAAACAGCTCGAACGGTGCCAATGTAGGCGTCGTAATGTCATTCTCCAAAACAATTTCCTCGAGCATCGAGGCTTCATAATGCCGCATCGGCGTAAAACCGGTCACCGCGACGTCACAACGTGGATCTAGTTCTGGACCTGCCGTAACCCACTCGGTTAATTCGATCAGAGACACTTCCGACTTGACTGTTGGCGTTGATACATCCCGTTTTTCTTCGCTAAGAATCAACTCTTTCGTCACCTCTTCTAGCTTCGGGCGACGCTTGATATCTTTCCTTCGTTTCCGTCTTTTCATTTCTGCGTAAGTGACTGATACGGTATAGATACGGAAAGGTTTTCTCACAGTTTCACCAGCGTTTTCTTTAATTCTATCGAGCATGGATTTTAAATTGCGAAATCTCATGAGACAGCAGTAGCCTTCCTCGTTGGCCTTCCCCCTCTCATCACAAGAATAAGGGTCGAACAGGTAGTATTTATCATCCGCTGTCCAAAATGCGTAGGCGCAATTTGCTAACACCAATGTACCAGTTTGATTGTTTTCTAGAAATTTACCGACTACCGCATCAAGCTCGTCGGATGGAGTACTCTCGGGATTAGCATAAATGATTTCCTTCAGTATAATGTTGAAACTTGTATCCAGGATGATTATTTTATCAAATGTTCTATATCCATTGTATCGCAGTTTGCCGATTTGTTGATCGATATTACTGGCGGAAAAGATCAAATAATCTAGAATACTGTCACAAAAGCGATCTACATTTAGCATGTTTTTGGCCAAAATGCATAATATAGCCGAAATAAAGCAAGGTTTGAAGTGAGAAGGTTCAATTCTTGTACGATCCGACAAACTGTGGTTGCCTCGTATTATCTCTGCATCTTCATCCACAACCTTAAAGTAATATTCAGATTAATTGCGTACTAAATGATCTACTTATTAAGTTAATTATATAAACGTTAGCAGAATGACAGATATAAATTAGTTTGAAACTCTGAACTATGATGTACATATATAGCTATAATTATATTAAATAATATCGCATTGTTCCAACAACACAACTCAAAGAATAAAGATTTAAAAAAAATAATTTTTAATATTTTGAATTATTAAAACTTTGTAATATTAATTTTGAAATATAATTTTGATGAATAACTGATTATAAGAGAGTAAAAGTATGTTTTTTCAAAGTATGTTTTCTTCTCTTTTTTTATATTTTTGTTTTCTTTTTACAAGGAATTTAAGAAATGACAATTTTTTAGTTATGTCATTATTGTAATGAGTCATGTTTTGTACATTATTGGTACGTAGCAATTCTATAATATCTAAATCTGTATTACAAAATTACTTTGAAACCAATAATTTCCGGTGACGAAGAGTCTACTTTCTTATCGAAGTATTCTGCTTTAATTATCATTTTCTTCATCTCTTTCGCCTTATCATTTTTCTTGTTTAATGGCTGAAAGGAAACTTAAATTGAAAAAAGCTTTCGTAAAAGTAAAAAAAAAAACAAGTAGTAATAATTATTTATACAAATGAAGAAAAACGGATAATTTTTATATCTAATATTCTTTATATATCTACTAAAAGCTTATTATTAAGTATGTTTTTTCCTTTCTTTATGTTCCTGTTTTTTTTTACAAGCAACTAAAAGTTGATAATTTTTTAGTTAAGTCGCTATTGTAGTCAGTAAGCGACATATCTATTTTGCATATTATTGGTAACGCAGCAATTCTAAAATATCTAAGTATTATAAAATTATACTTTAAGACCAATAACTTCTGATAACAAAAGACCTACTTTCTTATTGATGTATTCCGCTTTAATTAGCATTTTCTTTTTCTCTTTTATCTTATCATCATTTTTCTTGACCAATGGCTGAATGGAAAAAAAATTTAAAGATTAAAGAAAGCTTCTGTTAAAGTAAAACAAATAGTAATAATGTCTATACTGAGAAAAAAAAGTTAACTTAACTGCATTTAGTTCATAATGATTATTTAGTTAAAGTATTTATGTATTTAGGTTAAATATATATACATATGTGAATCATATCAATAAAACCTTGTAATTTAAAACACGTTATTTGCTTAAATTAACAAATATTTATTTAACAGTCCATGACCGCTGTATTTAATTAAATCAACTAATATTTTTTTGAATCAGCAATTTTTTTGTCAGTGTATATAAATAAAAAAGAACATAATAATTTTGGGACCTTTTTTATCTAAATATAGTTTTAAAATATGCTTTTTCTTTTTATATGTTTTTACATGTTTTTACAAGCGACTAAAAAAAATAACAATTTTTAAGTTAAATCGCTATTGTAGTCAATAAGCGATATATTTTGCATATTATTGATAACGCATCAATTCTCAAATATCTAATATTGTATTATGAAATTATACTTTGAAACAATAACTTCTGATGACGAAAGACTTACTTTCTTATCGAAGTATTTCGCATTAATTATCATCTTCGTTTTTTTCGTCTTAACATCATTTTTCTTGTCTAATGGCTGAATCGAAAGAAAACTTAGATTAAAAAAAATTTCCATAAGAGTAAAAAACAAATAGTAATAATATTTATTACGAGTAAAGAAGAACGTAATATATAATTTTGCATACTTTTTTGTCTCTTGAACTATATAATAACATATAAGCTTGCCATGACAAAACATAAAAAAATATGTTTTATTGTATAAATAAGTTATAACTGCTATGTTTTATCACATATATTAATATTTGGCGTGAAAAGTGCTACTACAAGAGAAAAATGATTAAATCAAAACATTGTATGTCTATTATACAATTGGTACCTTTACTTGGATTTAAATATTTTGACTATCATTTTTACATACGTTTTGAAATTTTAACACCTTTAACACAATTTTTTTTATTAGATCTAATTAAAATTTTTTGCAGAAACTAATTGCTCATATCTTTATTGTAGCAATTTTTTAAAATTTTTGAAGTGATAGTTTTTAAGAAAATAAGTTCTTATTTTTCCTAAAAAAGTTAAAAAATTTACAATGTTTTGCTTTGGCACGTTTTAAATCTTTTTATTAATAATAATATGTATATTATTATTTTTTCTTTATTAAATATATGTATATTCTTTAATTATTATATATTCTTCTATTATATTTTTATGATTATTAAAAAATAAATTCACCTGCAGAGGCACATCAAATTGAAATTTCAGAAATTTTAACTTGAATAGAAGTTGTTCCGCATCGGTGATAGTCTCTTTGATAGTAGGTGCTACTTCCTCAGTTTTCAACACTTTCTTTCGCTCATCAGGATATGTTAGATGCTTTATCACTAAAACGGGAGTTTTAATTATCGGTCCACGAGGTATCAGTTCTGGTCTCACATAAGACACTCTCGGCAATTTCCCTAGTGTCTTATCTTCTTTTTTTTCCAGCTTTTCTCGCCCAAGATATCTCTCGTCAATTGCTTTATCAATTTCTTTGTCCTGGATGTAACTCTCGTCGATAGCTCTTAAAGGCACCATACGGATAGGCGGCAATCTCGAGTACAAGTACTTCCTGAGAGATAGCTTAATCATCTTTGAAGGTTTCGTGTCCCGAAGCAACGGCACGATCGTGGTTAATATAGAGTCCATAGGAACATCACCCTTCTTAATTTCCAATCTCGAGTCGATCGAGAATCTCGATACGAGAGATGGGATCGACTTGTTGGCTGATTTTGCTTCCAGCAAAACACGAAGCGTTCCCCTTGGCGGCATCACATATGGCGGTGGATGATCGTACTTCATCTTTTCCATTATTATCTCTTCGGGCAAGCTCTTCAACTCTTCTTCAGTCGGATCTTGGATCTTCACTGTGGAAGTCAAGAGAGCCAAGTTTAGGCGGTAAGGTGCATCAGGCTGCACGGATTCTTCGATTAATTTTGTAGGATCTTTTTCCCTAAATTCATCAAATTCTTTTTGTTCTATTATATGTTTTTCCTTTTCCTCTTCCTCCTCTTCTTCTTCCTCCTTCTCTTCCTCTTCCTCCTCCTCCTCCTCTTCCTCCTCCTCCTCCTCCTCCTCCTCTTCTTCTTCTTCTTTCTCCTCTTCTACTACATCCTTTTTATCAACAAATTCTTTTGTCACTTCTATATCAACATCCAATTTCTTCTCTTCAAGTTCTAGTAAATCATCATCAGTAATTGGAAGAAACTTTGTTTGGAATTTTTCTGTTTTCTCATCCGGTATTACGATTTCCACAGATGACCTGTACTTTCCTGGTTCTATAGCGTCCAGAGCTACGAAATGAAGTGAGAAACGCGAATCGTGGTATTCTAAGATGCCATAAAGCAATTTGATCAACTCATTGAAACGATCCGTTACATTAAAGCCAGCTGAATATTGCCAATGACGCCATCCCTCTTCATCGCTACCATAAGGATTAAAGAGGAAGAATTTTTCATCCTCCTTCCAAATGGCATACATCAATCTATTGTTTTCCAATATCACTTCAGGATACCGTTCAAAGTAACGCTCAAGAGCCTCCGCGAGATTAGCCAAAGGATTTGCGTCGCCATTAGCGACGTTCATTTTCGTTTTAAAAAAAACATCGTTCTCAGCTAGCTTCAATCTAGGAGGTAAGAGAGAGATATCCAAATGACTAGGAGCACGTGCTACTTTTCGAATAACAGCTTTTTCTTCTTCTTCTTCTTCCTCTTCTTCCTCTTCTTCTTCCTCTTCCTCTTCTTCTTCTTCAGCCTCTTCTTCTTCCTCTTCTTCCTCCTCTTCTTCCTCCTCTTCCTCTTCTTCTTTCAATTTCTTTTCTACCACTTTCACTTCTTTTATTTCAGGTCGGCCTTGTTGAATCCACCTTATAACTTGTTTATAAGCCTTGTTGCCTATGTTAAGAATTTGATCTACGTCTAAACATCGCCAGCGCGTCGGATCCTTTAACTTCCTATATGCCAACGCAGTCAAAGCGATTATTAATCCCTGTCTACCTTGTGATCGCAGATCATACGTGCCGCTCATACAAGTCAAGCTACCACGAACGATAAGACAGTGATCGTTTATCAGATTATATCCTCTGATAGAGCCTATTACATCTTCTTCTTTCTCGTCCTCTTCTTTTACTTCCTCCTCGTCGTCTTCCTCCTCCTCTTCTTCTTTTTCTTCTTCTTCCTCCTCCTCCTCCTCCTCCTTCTCCTTCTCTTTTCCCTCTTCTTCTATTTTCTTTATTTTCTCAATTTTTCCATTCTCAATTGTATAAGTTACTGGCTCATCAACCCCCATCATGTATTGATCTATATCCTGCATAAGTTCTGGATATTGAATAGACACTTCTGCAAATTTACGTGACTCTGGTCGTAAGCGTGGCGTCGCATCGATCAAATCAACTTTTGTCGTATCCATTGGTACCGGGGGCGGCGGCGCTCGCGGTCTACGATTTGTACCACTCTCTCGATAAATCACTTTTTCGAACGGCCCACTTGGCGTCACTCCAGTCTTAACATAAAGCACCTTGACTCCGTGTATTAGGAAAGGATCGCTTTCCTCATTGCCAGTATTCTCCAGCACTATCTCCATCACGTCATTTACGGTGCTATTCATGGTAACGCAAGCAACATCTCTCGTAGTATCATGTGTCGTGCGTTCTCTATCACTGTAATCTATCCTGAAACCCTCGTCGTCACAAGCAAATGGATCGAAGAAATAATACGAGTCACCATCCTTCCAGATCGCGTAAAAGATCTTCTTGATCTCGACTATTCCGAGTTCCTGCGTCTCAAAGAACTCTTTTAAGCCGTTCTCAATAGAACTCTTACCCTTCTGCGTTTGACTCGATATTACATTCGCGTCTACCTTTACCTTGGCGGAATACACTCCGAGAATAACATCGCTCATTAAATCATCCAAGCAAAGCTCGAATTTATAGTCGAGTTTCTTCTCCAGAACTCTGACCAGATCGACTAGATAGATATTGGCCTGATTAAAAATCAAATTGATTAAAGCGGTCGTCCACTTGTTAGCATTGATCAGTCGAGAATATATCAAAGCTGCTACAGCTATAATCAGATGTCCTTTACCTCGCAGAGCTTCTGGGATGGCGGGATGCGTCAGATGATAAGATCCCTGTACAATAACTCGGTATTTTTCGCAAATTTTATAACCGCTCGGTCTTCTCCGCGGCTTCTCAAGTATCTTTGCGGCCTCTTCGGCATCTTCTGGTAAAATCATTTCGACATTGCTGATGAATATAGGATAAATTACGAAGGGTTCGTTTCGTACGTTACTCTTCTCAAGAATGATAAACAGTAATCCTATCAAGTCTTTCACGAGAAACAGTTTGGCCGATCCGCTGACTCTATCGACTGCTGGCTCGCCACTTTCTTGTCGCGCCTGACCATCAAATACATAGTAATACTTCGAATCTTTCCAGATAGCTATATTGAGCACCGGCGATGTCAGGATCCCGGCATTGTGTCGCTCGAAAAATAGTTCTAATGCTTTCGCCAGATGAAGCTCTGTCGGATTGCGCGAACGAAACTTTCCAGCGTATGCCGGATCCTCAATCTTAACTTCCACATTAAACTTTTTCTGAAGAAGAAGATTCCTTTTCAAGTCGAGGATGGTCATTGTTCGGCGATCGTCCGTGTTCACATCTTTGTAGGACTCGCAATAAAAAGTGTCGCCGTCCTCGACGATTTGATCGATCACCGCTTCGTTCCAACAGCGAGATTTGTGAATCGCGGTCGTGGCAAAGGCTGCAATCGCTATAGCGCCACCCTGTTATTAGAGCTGCGAAATGAGAAACTGCAAAGCAACGTTTAAAAATATTTGTATTTAAAAAATAATTGCTTAATATTGGAATTTTTTTAATTATAAAATTAATTACATCAAAAAGAATGTATAGAATGCAACGCAAACAATTCGCGAATTCCTTTAATATGACAAAACGTTAAGAAACATTCCTTAAATAAAGCTTGCATCATCAACTAATCGCGATTGTAATTACCTGATAACCTCTAGATAATGGTGAGAAATACGACATGTTCGAGTGAATGAGGCCGGAACGAACACCATACTTGACGCACAATGGTAACTCCGCTGTAATTTTAGTAAGAGAGTAAGTATCGTTCGGTAAATCGAGCATGTTATTCAAGTTCCGATATTCTTCTTCTAGATCCTCATCGAACTCGTCGCTGCTCGGTGCATCATCCTTGATCATATCTTTCGTAACATCTTTCGTAACATCTCCGATCGCACTGATAGTCTCGGCCGAAACTATCTCATTATATTCAGCAAGCTGCTTTATTTTCGCCTTGAATGATTTTGCTTTCTCTTTGTTCATATCGAATGCTGCTTCCTTCTTAAGCTCCATATTTTTTATTTATATAATTCTTAATAAATTTCCAGAAAATATAATTAAAATTACCTGTACAGTTATATAACTCTCTAGCACTTTGATTTAATAAAACCTTAATTAATCAAAAAAGAGAGCGAACCTGAATTAATGAGCGACATAAGCAACATAGGAGACTGCATTTAATCAACAGCTTATAATGTTTACATTTTCTGATATCCAGTAGATATATATATTTCTAAAATATTGAATTTTTAATTAAAATATTGAATTTAATTAAAATATTGAATTTAATTAATATTTGTTGAAAAATGGACTAGATAAACACGATTAAATTTAAATTTTAAGTTAATTAATTTCAAGTTGGATTGAGTTAAATGAAATTATCAACAGAATAATTCAATCGATAAAAATGACTATTACGATCATGATGGAATCACTCGATATGTATACAATATTGTATTATTTAAAATTGCTTATATTATCTCCCTTCTTTTTGATTATTTTAATTAATTAAAAATCACAATAAAATATTAATATCAAATATTATCGATAAAAAGATGTCTTGATCTAAACCTACATAAATACTGCTACTGTTTGTTCATTTTGTGAGGTATAAGCAGTTTTCAAAAAATTTTTCCTTCGAAAAAAGGCGCTAATAATAATTAAAATGCTATCGCATGCATGTACGATAATTTATATTCGCAAATATTAAGATAATTATCGCGAATGAAGAAGTATAGTCACATTTTTGTCAACTGCGAATAGCGAATCTGTGAATAAAAAGCGTCTGTTATGTAAAATAAAATGAATGTTTTTATTGCAATAAAAAAAATAATTTTATAATCACTAAAGAAAGGATAAGACAATTTGTGAATTACATAAATGTTTAATACATGTATCAATAATTTAAATTATAAAATACATTACAGAATAAAATATTTTTTTACAAATACTTAAAGTATTTATAAACTTTCTTAATTATTTTAGCACTAGAAATCAAATTATTATTTATTTTACTTATTTTGTCACATATTCCCAAAATTAAATATATAATAAAAAAAACTCGCTTGTTTCTTGATTATGTATTTTTTAAATCTTGTTTAATCAGCATCAGTTCTAGAAGAATGTATTGGGTATGAATGAATTTATCACACAAAAATGTGATAAAATACTTATTATGAAACTAGGGTATAAGTATTTTTACGAAATACATTCTTGTTGTTAAACTTGATTACAAAAATCTTTCACGTTTCTTCGTAGACACAGGATGAACACGTTGATTGCGAGACTATATCCTGTGTTTGATATTTTATATATGTATGAAGAAATTACCATATTGTAAAGTCATTATAATTGAGTAATATCTTTGCCGACAAATTTACCGACTGATTTTATATGACAATTACACAACATTTTAATTGCTTTTTTATATGCGGTTTTTGTACATACTCCTATATTTATTTCTTATCTCAAAATTAAATTAAAAATACACAGACTAATTAGATTTATTAATTATTTAAATAAATTAAATAAAGTTACAGTAATGAGCATTAAATTGGCATTTTCTTCATAAAGAATTATAAGCGTGGCTTTAATTAAAAAATGCTTGTAATATAACAAATATAATAAATGTCTATAATTGTATGCAATGAAACGTTTTTTCAAAATATGTTTTAAACCATAACTAGTACCAAATTAATTATTTCAACACTGATCATATTAAAATAAAGTTCATAGAAATATGCATCTCTAATTGTATTTATCATACAAATTTAAAAAATATAAAATTTTTATTAATAAATTTAATAAATATAAACATAAAATTAAAACAAATTAATATTTTAGTAATTTATTTTTTATATAAATTTATATAACAAAAATAACAAATATAAAAAGAAAAGACAAAGAGAAAAGAATAGAACAAAAAATATAATAGAATCATTCGTTGATTATTATATTGTACTTTCCATTACACTAGTCTGCAATGAAATTGTCTTTCACACTTTTTAATGTATGTTTGCCTGATGGAACACGAATCCGTTTTTGAAATTTTGCGTTACATTACGTAAAACATATATAAAATTTTTCAACAAGCAATACGCAAATTATATATATAATTAATTATTACAGTTTTGAAAAAATAACTTTAAAGAAACATAAACGGTAATTTTGAAGGTTTTCAGGACTTTGTTTACACTGACAACAATTTTTCGTCTAAATTTTGTGAATGATACGCGGAAGTGTCAACTTTTAGTTTTAAACTGCATTTTTTCATTTTGATATGATGTTTCATTTTCAAGATATAGCAATTTAAAAATAGCACTTTTTTCATATAATACAAAATGCAAAATGTATATTATTCAATCTTAACATTGCATTATGTGGAAAATAAGTGTTTAAGAGATATAAAATTGATAAAATACAACATGGCTATTTTCAAAATACATTTTAAAACTAAAAAGTAATACATTCGCAAAGTATTAACGAAATTTAGAAAAAAATTTGCTGCTGGTGTTGCAACGTCATGGAAATCTTCAAAATCATCGTTTTTAGTCTTTCTTTGACGCCATTTTTTTCAAAATTATAACTTGATGGAACAATTTGACCTCGCAATAGAAAAAAATTACATTTATTGATAATTTGGTTGAAAACAAAAAAACAAATCAGAATTTTCTAATTGAATCTATATTATAATATAGTCAAGTAACCGTTCTCAATGCATAAATAACATCATATTCAGCATTTAAAAAACTACAGGAAACGATCATGTTTATTCAAGCTAGTGCAAACTCGTAGATTAATGTTATCAAGATATTTTTGTTAATTTTCAATTAATTACAGTACAGAAATATTTTTTTTAACAAAATGACACCAAGACATAAAAAAATTAATTAAATCTGCATATTTGCCAGTTAATACGTCCTACGTATCGCTTATATAATAAAATTGTAACACGCGATAATCAGACGCATGACCTATGTTCTTATCTGATAGAAAGATTAATATAACATTAGGAAGAATTGCAAAACATTCTCATAAATTTCAATACGTTACGATAGTACTTATTATTGTCATCAATTACATCAATGTCAATTAATTAATTTGCATATTATTTGTTGAAGAATCTTATGCATATTTTTCATATGATGTAACTTGATATTAAGTGTCTCCCCAGTCTTATCATTAATGACTTCATTTATAAAAAATAATTAGTATGGATGTTATATTATATTAAATACAGACTATTAATTTATATTATATTTGTTTATCAATTAATAACATCAATTATAAAATATTAATTTCTAATAAAAACATGTAATCTTTAAATTTATCTATAAAAAAATGTTATATCTTAAATTTAAATATATTTACATATTTTCAGATTTTATCAACAAATAAAATAGAAAAATGTATGCAAAATTTTTAGTTATCTATTGATTTTCACATTTTTATGTACAAAAGTTTAGAGATAATGACTAATGTTATCAGAATAAAATAAATAATTTCTACGAATCATTGGAAAATCATAGATCAACTTGCACTGAAAAAGACTGCAAAGGATGTGAAAGTAATGTAGCGGAACTTTTCCGTTACACATTTTTAATCATACCTCATCCGGTACAATCTTCGACGAGCAACCAGGATAGCAATTCCTCCCACAGACCCATAATAAATAATAGGTCACTCGAGTCGATCTTGGTCTTTATCTATCGGCTTGAGTGGTGTTATCACCCGAAGATTTTATAGAACGACTGTGAGAACAAGAATCGAGAGCTACGGCTGCTCTCAGTGAACGATCAAACGTCGATGGGGACGTTGCCATCAAGAATTACATTTTTCATTCATTTGTGGCAAAATATTTTGCAATTCAATTGTGTGTAGTGCATAGTATATCTGCGAATTGTTAGAATGCTAACTTACATTAGAATAACGACCCGTAAGTAATGAGATTTAATGAAATTGAATAAAATCGAAGCTTTTCTCTCTCTTTCTCTTTCTTCCTACTTACAAGTAATATCTTCTTTAATTCGATAATATCTATACATACAGATCTTTTCTTGATATATGCTATTATTTTTTTATGTAGTTTAGATCTAGGCTTTAAGACAACTTTTACTGATGTTTCGCTTGTTGTTGTGCACACAAAACTTTCTCTAGTTCTCTTATGTATGTGTATTATTTTATGTTTAAGTTGCACTTCAATAAAGTTATTAGATATTATTATTATTATTATTAAATGTATAATATTTTTATTTCTTTCTGAATAATAGGGTCTAAGAAAAGATAAAGACACTGTAGTGTTCTAAAAATTCTATTCTGCAATAAGTCCTGCTTAAAAAAGTTTGTAAAATTAGAACTTTGTCTAGAATTCAAGATTGTAAAATTAATTTAACAAAATGAAGATTAATGATTATCAATTTATTAAATGCAAATGGGCTGTTAAGTACTTAGACAATTAAAGGACAGAACAATAAAACACGATTTACGTTAATATATTTTATTATACGATTTATATCATATATGATTTATTTTTACTTTTATTCCCCCATTTCGAAACGTTTCTGAGGTACACTTTAGCATTTAATTACACCTACTTCCCCTCATTTTTCTTAAACTTAAGCATATTATCACACGAATGTATATATTTTTGAGTGTGTTATTTGCTATTTAACATTTTATTTGACTATATATATTTTGAATTATACAAATTTAAACAATACTATGGCATTTTGTTAATGTGGCCTTTTATAGATATTGATTACTCATGACCTCTTTTTCACGACTTTTCACGACCAATTTTAATATACGCGGGCAAAATGATGCGTTATACTTCTAAATCTTATCAGTTCACTTTTTCTTTTATTAGAATATATTTTGGTACTGAGACTTGTGTAATATACTAAAAAGATCATGCAATCTCGTTAAATTAAGTATAAACATTAGAATTATGTTCTTAAAAGCTTGTATTAAAGGCTCTAGCAGGTTACGGAAGGTAAAACGGCCCCCAAACGAAATTGAATGGAGGCAAGTTTTTCAGTTTTGTGGTGGTAAAAAAGAAAATTTTTTAAGTTTCAACTGCCTAACGCCATTATTCAGTCCGTAAATTTTATGATAATCTATGTTATAATATTGTTTTGTTATTTAAAATAATCTGATTTTAAGAAAAATTAGAATATTCTAATTTAATAAAAATAAAATCTTTTTCAAAACTAACTTTTTATTTAATTTGAGTTAATTTACAACTAGCAAGGAATA